TGATCTGTTTATTGTTTATTGTTTAAGGCAAATACATTAGCACAAACATCGTAAAAAGTTTATTCGAAAATTAGATAAATTTCTATTAGTTTAAAAGAATTTTGTTTCTTAAAATTCAATTTTAGAACAGACAATCTTACTTAATCGTTTATGACACGTAATTTTATTGAACCATTTCTGAATTATCACTGTCAGTTACTACACATGTGTCAGCTCGTAGTTTCTTAAATATAACTAGAGGAAAAGAGACAAATACCAACATTGATATATTATCAGCTCTTGGTACTGAAATTCCCACTCTTAAAAGGAAATAACAGAGAAGCGGGAAGTTGAAATGTTTTTGAGCAGTATTTAAGATAATTGATTAAAAATATTATATATAAAAAATATATGGGGATAATTGTAATTAATTCTTAAAGTGCAATATTAAATTGTATTTCTTGAAAATATCTTAATGTTATATCATATAATTAAAAAAAATTTAGTTCAGATTGAGCTTATGAGCTGAATTGTAAATTATTAAAAAATTTCATTGCAAAATTGTTTAAAAGATAATGGGGATAAGCGAATCTAACAATTTGATAGAAAGAGTTTTATGTTTTTTTTCCTTCGTCGTTCTATGTATCTAATATTCTTTTTGAATCTCATCTCTTGACAGCCAAGTCGTTTTTGTAGCCGAGAACATTCTTGTGTACAATTTTAGCATTAAAAAACATATACATTTTATATACATATTTATGTATTAAATATATAATGCATTATATTATATTCATATTTGAGAATGAAATTTAATTTTCCATCATTGTATTGAGATTTCTTTCACGTTTATTGATTGAGAAACACACAATTAACAATAAAATGATTTATTTATTGTAATGACACGAAGGAAAAAGAGAAAGAAAAATTTATTGAAACAATCAGTATAATATAATTTTTACATTCCGTTTGGCGTAGTGCGGTTTGCCTTGCTGTCTCTATAGAGGAAATATATTTCCATCAAATCGTAATCTGATCGAGTCATACTCTCGCGTGAAGCATCGCAATGTCAATATCACAGGAAAAAAAAGTTTCACGAGCGATGTGTGTTGTGTTCGTATTTTATCGAGTGTCGACTTTCGGCTCTAAACCCTCGTACGCTATAGAATGCTGCGACGCTGGACGAGAGAACAGTGTTTATGGATTAGTCCGGAGAGCCAAGTGATCCCAGTGATTCTCAATCGGTGCGGCAATAACGCGAGTGTATTCCGTTGCCAAAAAGTTTGCCTCATACGGGACGCATGTCGCCTGAGAGGATCGAGAGAAAAGCTGGGGAAAGTAGGGAGAACAGGTCGCGAGAGGGGAAAAATGGGTCGGCGCCAAGGTTTAATCAATGGTTTCGGCGCCAACCGGGTCTGTAAAAAAAATGCACAAGCCGCTCATGTAACGACGGAAATTCGGATTGTCATTCGCTCCACGATAGCACCTTCATCGAATGCATCTCCATCTCTCTCTCTCTCTCTTTCTACTTCTTGCACGCGGCCTCTCTGCTGCATCTTGTCTCCTGTCCGTCGTTTCGGCCGCCCACGCACATCGTTTTTATCGTGCACTCCCTTTCCGCTTTTTATTTCTTTCTTTCGAATAACGTCATTGCGGCGCCGCTATTCCGCAAGTCATCTCGGCGCCGAATGTGACACTCGTCGCTCACTCGTCAACGTTCAAGAAGTATGACCAATGTACGAAAAAATGTTGCGTCGTGTCATCAACCGAATCGAACTTCCAATTCGTTCGCGACGAACGCGAATTAACTCCAAGAATAACATTTACATTGTTTAAGGATACTTTCGATTAGCATATTAAATTTTAATTGATTACTGGTGTGATTATATGGCATTATACGAAATAAAGATCTTAATTAATATAAGTACATATTCAGGATTACATAATTCTATGCATTAAAATATTTTAGAGAGAAATATTTTTGTCGTAGTAAAATTAAGATATAAATCTTATGATTAACAGATGGATGAATGAATCATAGGTAATTAATCACACCGGTTAAAGTACAGAACATATGAAAGAATGTAGTAAAAAATAGTAAAAAATGTTATTGGCGAGTTACAATTCGCGTCTGACGTAGATTATTAAAGTTGCACATCTCGTATGACGTATTTTATCATTATATCAAACATTATACATTCTCAGAATTAGCTGTATTAATTGAATACGGAATGTTGTTTAGTCGACAATTAATTAATTAATTAATTATCCATCAAGATCCACAAAAATCCAAAATATGCAATATTTATTCATGAGTATTCTTCGAATTGTGTGTGTGCGTGTGTATGTGTATTTGATATGCATATCTATAGACTACAAACTGTTTTCTTTTCAATTATTTAATTATGCATTTTTTACAACACAAGAGACAAAGAGAATAAAAACCTGAACAGAAATAACATTCTATAAAAGAAAATGCATTTCACAAAATAAAATTTGCAAATATAATAATCTAATTAATTTTAAGAGATTGTGAAATAAATGCAAATGATGAGACGTCTATCTAAATTGTAGATAAAAATTGAGTCAAGGTATTGGACTGTGTAAAATATGAGACAATTAATAGGTTTTATATGTTTACGCACATACAAACACACACACACACACACACAATATTTTTTTGCAGCATAAAAAAGTATTATTCTCTAAGCTTGAATATAAAAAATTAATTGTTCAGACAACTTAGATAGAAGATTCTGTGATATATAATAATGTATAAAATGTATTTATATGCCTTAAGATATGCATAAATAAATAATATCACATCAATGCATGTAAATTTGTAAATATTAATCGTAATATGTTATATATTTAATGTAAAACACTATTCATACTTATACTGATAATCTTGCGTGTCAATAGTATTATATTGAGCGTTTTAAAACAGAATCAATTCTGTGTATTATATTATTCTTTTCAAGTCGTTTCTATGTCATTTAATTTATAAAAACTTTATCTAAATTTTTTTTCTGAATTAATGTTGCTTTAAATATCAACATTGTTAGCAATTTTATTATTACATTGTATTAGTCAATTTAAAATGAAACCATTTAGTGGTTACGATTTACCTGATATAGGAAATGTCATGTGTGCAACTTCTGTAACGCGATAATATACGATCTTAAAACGTCAAGGAGGTCGTGCTTTCGCGAGACTTCAACGACTAACATGTAGCGCCGGAAAATGTACTCAGACAGGCTGTCGAACGTTAAGGCACTGAATTCATGCCACATAATTTCCGGGTGTGACGGTGGTTTCTGTCAGCGAGAAAGCAAAATGGCAATGTGACATCCGCGGTAATTCGCTATAGCCTTACTACTATGTGTAAACGTCATCGTAGTACTGAATGTACAAATTTTCCCAAAGGTAAAGAGAGCTAAACAAATAGACAATAGCTTGATGTAACAACATTGAGATTGATATTATAATTAGTTTTAATTAGAGTTAAAGTTGAGTCATATAGAAGTGCGACTAAAGTTCGTGAGATCAAGAACACTATATATTGAGGATACTAATAAGTAAAGGAGATTTATTTATTTGTTGTCCTTCTTTTAATCTTATACGAGTATACACTTTGCATATGGAATCTATACGTATCTAAATACAATTTTAAAAAAATATAAATTTGGAGATTAAATTATATGTTTTAATTTCTCAAAGAAGAAATATTTTTTTTTTAAGAAGAGATATTTTGTTTTTCTGAAGGTAAAAAATATTGTTTTTATAAAATTATATTTTTCTCTAAATTAAATTACTTTTTTAAGAATTAAAAGATAATTAGACTATATCTTTGCATCTCGTACATCTTGTGTAATAACATACGTCGATGTATTTCTATGCAATGTTAATCTATGCATTGTTAGTCATCTTTTACATATATTTATTTCATACGTCACTAAATGGAAGGTCGGTAGTTATAGTTGTAGTTGCATTTTTAATGCTGGAAAATTACAGTCTAATTGTAAAAGCAATTTCGTACGATTAACTACAATATTTTTGTGGTTTTTCCTAACGTAACCTAACGGCTTTTAAAAATGCATAATTTATTATTTCAGATTTGTGTAATATAATTCCATTAATATTAGATTCTTGTTTAATAAAATATTTTTTACAATGTTTATAATTTACATATTACAATATACATTGATTAAAATAACATATGTGTGTGTTTTATTATATATACATGATTTTTATTAAAATAGCTTACTACTGAAATAGTATAAAATTCTAAAGTTTTTCCTTTCATGACAAAATTAGTGAGATCACATCTCAGCAGTTCATAGCTATTCGTTTAATCCATGCGATTTGTTATTTAAATTATAATTCCAAAACGCGTTTTCTCTCCATCTGTGTACTGCATAGTGTGAAGCACATGCAAATCAGGATATTCGCGCAAATTCCACTAAGCTCTTCCGCATTCACTACCTCGCACGATGTTTGCACACGGAAAGAGGCGTCAAATCTTCCAACTTAATGATTTCTATCCGTTGCTACGCGGTCGAGTCCGCAACTTCGTAAAAAATTCAAATATCAATAGAAATCGAGAATAAGCATAAATAAATATGACAATTGAATCCTCCCCTTCTCTCTCTTTCTCTCTCTCTCTCTCTCTCTCTCTCTCTCTCTCTCTCTCTCTAACAAAAATATATTTTGCATTAATCTATTCGTGTGTATTTGATTTAATGGCATTGTCATGTTTTTTTTATTCAAGAATCATTGTAATTATATAAAACACAGACATTCATATTTATTTTCATATAGTTTACGTACATATTAATATCTTTTTTTACATTGATTTTACAGAAATTTTAATTTAACTTAATAAGAAGATGCAAAGTGAAGATTCATGTATAGTATAATTGAT